AGTTACTAATTATACTCTTAAAAAAATTTATTTATTTAAAAATCTAAAATGTTAATAAATTGTTTATTAATTAATTAACATAAATTTAATCTAAATTTAATTATCAAATTAGTTCATTACAAATTCTTTGTTATAGAGGAAAAAATTTAATTTTTAATATAAATTGACATAAACGATTTGTCAGTAGCGCCATCTTTTGGGTTATTAATTATAATTAATTATAACCTTAAAAAGAAGTAATTATTTAAAATTCGAAAAAGTAGATAAATTGTTTATTAATTAAACAACATAAATTTAAACTAAACTTAATTCCAGGATTATTTCACTACAAACTGTTTGTTGGAGGAGAAAAACTTAAAAAAATGGAGATGAATCACAGCTAATTCTTCTTGAACTCAACTTCCAAGTCTATTGAAAAGTATACCCTGAATTAGGGCCCCCTGAAGGGGGCGAATCATCAAACACAGGAGGTTGAGGTTGAAAATGTTCAGCAGATAACCGAGTAAATAAGATTCCAACCCCTTCAATTAAAGCAAGAAGGACTCCACCAATAAAGGCACTCCCCGCCATAGCAGGTAACCCATTTCTAGCTGCTAAAATCCCTCCAGTTGCTGCACCACTTATGATTGAGTTCCAAGGATCCTCTTTCTTCCTAATATGGATTAAAGCACAATCAATTGTAGAGAACATCCCACCCCAAACAGCGAAATTTCCCGCTATAATTGGAGAACGTTGCTTAATTGCAGTTAAACTTCCAGCCTAAAAGGTAAGAATTAAATTAAAGCATTAAAAAAAAGTGAGGTTATGTACCAATCTTCGCCCAACACCAGAAGGGGCATTTCTAAACCCTTTAATACTTTGAAAAACACCCCCGCCGATTAATCCCATCGTAAAAGCACCCCCACAATCATCCACAATCCTCCAAGGGCAAGGTTCTCGCGTGTATTCCTCCATTTGGGGGCTTTATGTGATTATAACCTCAAAAAAAAAATTTTTTTTAACTAATTTTGTATTAATTTGAATTAATTCATTAATTATGATTAAATTTGTTTAGGATTAATCAAAACTTACCTTTCTTTTAAGTAAAACGATGAGATTGAATGAATTTCGTTCGATTATTGAACCCCTTTGACAGAATGAGACACGTGAATTTTATTGCTTATTAAATCTTGCGAAATTAATGTGGAAATTGGTTAAATTGTTGAATTCGGTTTAAAACGGCGTCGATTGGAGTTTATTAGCGAGAAATTTTAATGAAATTTAACCGAAAAAAGTGTCGGAAGTTTATGTAAGATTGAGGTTGTGTTTGGTGGCGGGAAATTTGAATTAAACGTCAAAAAAATTTATTTATTAAAATTTGATTATTTAAAAATTTGATTTATCATGTTTTTAATGAATTAAGATAAAAAAGGATTAATTTGATTTAATGAAATTTGATTTTTTTAATTAAACTCTGCACGATTAATAAATTTTGATGTATTACCACATACAGTGTGTCCCAGGAATAAATGTTACAAGAGTTATAATGACTTAAAAATTTTTTAATTTTATTTTAAGGCTGAGGAATTAAACGCTGCTTGGTGTGGAGAGAATTTTAAGTATATTTTTATATTTTGAAAATCAACTCAGTCTTGATAGTGAAGTGAAAACTATTTTTAGTTCAAGTAAAGTAACCTTTTTGTTCATGATACTGGAAAATTTTATTAAGTTGTTCAAAATGTGAAATTATGGTCCTGTGCAAAATTTCAGAAAGACTTTCCTATATTGATTAATTACCCATATCTTTGATAAAATTTTTTTGGTAACATTTGGAAATTGGAGCATGTTATAAAAAAACTTTTATAACAAAAGTTGTTGCAAATTTTATTCTTAACAATATTGCTCTCTTGTATATTTGCTCTCAGATGCGTCAATATTGAGAAAAATACGAAAATTTGATGAATATCCTTGTTTTAGTATTAGCTAATGGTACCATTTGGGAATCGGAGCATGTTATCAAAAAACCTTTAGAACAAAAGTTGTTGCTAATCTTATTTTTAACAATATTGCTCTCTTGTCTATTGGCTCTCAGATGCGTCAATATTGACAAAAATACGAAAATTTAAAAATTTGATGCATTTTCTTGTTTTACTATTAACTAATGGTAACATTTGGGAATCGGAGCATGTTATCAAAAAACTTTTATAACAAAAGTTGTAGCTAATCCTATTCTTAACAATATTGCTCTCTTCTATATTTGCTCTCAAATGCGTCAATATTGAGAAAAATACGAAAATTTAAAAATTTCATGAATTTCCTTGTTTTACTATTAGCTAATGGTAACATTTAGGAATCGGAATATGTTATCAAAAAATTTTTAGAACAAAATTTGTTGCAAATTTTCTTCTTAACAATATTGCAATGTTCGGGAATTGAAGCATGTTATCAAAAAACCTTTAGAACAAAAGTTGTTGCAAATTTTGTTCTTAACAATATTGCTCTCTTGTATTTTTGCTCTCAGATGCGTCAATATTCAGAAAAGTACGAAAATTAAAAAATGTTATGAATTTTCTTGTTTTACTTTAGCTAATGGTAACATTTGGGAATCGGAGCATGTTATTAAAAAACTTTTATAACAAAAGTTGTAGCTAATTTTGTTCTTAACAATATTGCTCTCTTGTATTTTTGCTCTCAGATGCGTCAGTATTGAGATAAATACGAAAATTTAAAAATTTGATGAATTTCCTTGTTTTACTATTAGCTAATGGTAACATTTGGGAATCGGAGCGTGTTATCAAAAAACTTTTAGAACAAAAGTTGTAGCAAATTTTATTCTTAACAATATTGCTCTCTTGTATATTTGCTCTCAGATGCGTCAATATTGAGAAAAACATGAAAATTTAAAAAATTGTTGAATTTTCTTGTTTTACAATTAGCTAATGGTAACATTTGGTAATCGGAGCATGTTATCAAAAAACTTTTATAACAAAAGTAGTAGCTAATCCTATTCTTAACAATATTGCTCTCTTGTATTTTGGTATCAGATACGTCAATATTGAGAAAAATACAAAAATATAAAAATTTAACGAATTTTTTTGTTTTACTAGTGTTAATGGTAACATTTGGGAATCGGAGCATGTTATCAAAAAACTTTTAGAACAAAAGTAGTAGCAAATTTTATTGTTAACAATATTGTTCTCAGGTATATTTGCTCTCAGATACGTCAATATCGAGAAAAATACGAAAATTTGATGTATTTCCTTGTTTTACTATTAGCTAATGGTAACATTTGGGAATCGGAGCATGTTATCAAAAAACTTTTACAATAAAAGTTGTTGCAAATTTTATTCTTAACAATATTGTTCTCTTGTATATTTGCTCTCAGATGCGTCAATATTGAGAAAAATACGAAAATATGAAAATTTGACGAATTTTTTTGGTTTACTAGTGTTAATGGTAACATTTGGGAATCGGAGCATGTTATCAAAAAACTTTTATAACCATAGTTGTAGCAAATTTTGTTCTTAACAATATTGCTCTCTTGTATTCTTGCTCTCAGATGCGTCAATATTGAGAAAAATGCGAAAATATGAAAATTTGAAGAATTCGTTGTTTTACTAGTAATTAATGGTAGCATTCGGGAATCGGAGCATGTTACAAAAAAACTTTTAAAACAAAACTTGTAGTAAATTTTATTCTTAACAATATTGCTCTATTGTATTTTTGCTCTCAGATGCGTCAATATTGAGAAAAATACGAAAATGTGAAAATTTGACGAATTAGATATTTATTGTATGAATCCATGTTGCAAGTTATATTATATATGGGAATATGTATATGTATATATACATATAAAAATATAAAAAACTTCTTACTTGCTTATATTTTAAATATTTATTGGAACCGGTTTCGACACATAAAGGTTATCATCACCCAAAATCTTTGCAAGCGAAAAAAAAATCACATCAAAATCTAATTTCGTTATAAAAATTATACAGTGCCCATTATGTATGGAATATAGTATATATCTTGGTAAATATCAACTTCGTAAAAACACATTTTATACAAAAGTTGTTTAATATTTTATTTGTCATAATAAGAAAGCATTCAATTGTTTTTGTTTCAGAAAACAAACGAGCAACGAATAATACTTGAAGTTTTTTAAATGGCAATGTATCCTTTCGTTAGGCTGATCAGAAATTTTTTGAAAAAAATGTAAACATTGTTTATTAATAAAAATTAATCAATAATATTAATCTAGATATCCCAGATCGTCAAATTTTATGCTTAATAATGTTGCTCTTTTGCACGTATGCTCTCAAACGTAGATATTCTTTGAAGACGTTGATGGTAACACTAGGGAATCGGAGCATATTACAAAAAAACTTTTAGTACAAAAGTTGTAGCAAATTTTGTTCTTAACAGTATTGCTCTCTTGTATTTTTGCTCTCAAGTGCATCAATATTGAGAAAAATACAAAAATTTAATGAATTCCCTTGTTTTACTATTAGCCAATGGTAACATTTGGGAATCGGAGCATGTTATCAAAAAACTTTTATAACTAAAGTTGTAGCAAATTTTATTCTTAACAATATTGCTGTCTTGTATTTTTGCTCTCAGATGCGTCTATATTGAGAGAAATGTTAAAATTTGATGAATTTTTTGTTTTACTACTAGTTAATGGTAACATTCTGGAATTAAAGCATGTTATCAAAAAACTTTTAGAACAAAAGTTGTAGCAAATTTTGTTCTTAACAATATTGCTTTCTTGCACGTTTGCTCTTAGATACGTCAATATCGCGATAGATACGAAAATTTGATGAATCCGTAGCTCTTTTAAGTTATTAAATCTAATACTCGGGAATCGTCGGGTTGGCAACGCTGGTACAAATGTCAAATAACTATATAAGTTTAATAGAAAGTTCAAGAACAATAACTTCATTTAAAGTACAAACAATAACGTGATTATGTTACATAACCTTGATATGTTTACTATTGCATTGTTAGATGGCCCTAAATTGATTATTTTTTTATAACAATTTTATCCAAAAGATTAAAAAATCGCGTAGAATTAAAATTACCTTTTAAATAACGAAAATACAATTTAATTTGTGATTATTTTTTAAAATAAGAAATAATTTATAAATATATCGAAGGGATTTTTTGACAGATTTCTGTAATGACATATGTATAGGTTATGTTGTTATCTTAGGAAGATTCATTTAAAAATGACCCAAAATTTAATAAAGATTTTAAACGCCGGCAAACTTTCCTATTTAAAATCGTTAGATTTACAAGAAACCATTTCAAATAACCATAAAGCAAGTATAAATAACAAAAATGAAGGTTATAATAACAAAGTTTTGGATACATTAATTCTTGTGGAGCACCCTCCTGTATATACAATAGGACTTAGAACGAAAAATTATACAAATGAGGATGAAACACGGTTAAAACAAACAGGTTAGTACCTAATAAATCCAATTTACACATTAATTAATGATTTAATGCGATTTAAAAAGGTGCTGATTTCTTTAAAACCAACAGAGGTGGTTTAATAACATTCCATGGCCCTGGACAACTCGTAGTGTATCCAATTTTGAATTTAAAAAATTATAACCCAAGTATGAAATGGTACATTAACAAAATTGAGGAAGTTGTGATTCAAACTTGTAATTTATTTGATTTGGAATCATCAAGATCCCCACATACAGGAGTTTGGATTGGAAATAATAAGGTAATAATAACAAAGTTAAATTTAAAAGATGTGTTATTAAAATGAAATTAGATTTGTGCAATTGGAGTTCATGGAAGTCGATTTATAACAACACATGGCCTAGCAATCAATTGTAATGTTAATTTGGATTGGTACAAGCATATTGTACCATGTGGAATTGAAGGAAAAGGGGTTACTTCTTTCTCAAAGGAATTAAATCGAGTTGTATTGATAAGTGAGGTTATCCCAAAGTTTTTAGAATCGTTTTCGAAATGTTTTAATTGCAAATTTGATGAATAAATAATTCGTTTTATGGATTATTTAAATGATTTGTTATTAATTTAATCGATTTAGTACAATTTTTGATGAATTTTTTAATTTTTAGGTTAATGTGTATATTTGGTTGCCTATTCACTCAGTGACAATAAAATTCTAATAAGTGAGGTTATCCTAAAGTTTTTAAAATCGTTTTAATTTTAATTGCAAATTTAATTGAATAAAATAATTCATTTTATGGATTATTTAAATAATTTCTTATTAAATTAATCGATTTAGTTTAATTTATAAATCATTTTTAATTTTTAGCTTAATGCGTATGTTTGGTTGCCTATCTACTCAGGTGACAGAATAATTATTTTTTTATAAAATAATTTTTACAAAATAAATTAACAAAATTTATTTACATATAACTGAAACGTTCATTATTTTTATGGCCTTTAATTTTCTACTTATACCAGAATTTAATTCATCATTCTCATTAAGTCAATTTTGATATTTTGAGGATTCGTTAGCTACGTCATAAAAAATCGTGAAATGTTGATATCTGTTTAAAAATCACTCAATTTCAACAGTATGTGTTACATATAGGCATAGGATTCAAGTAAAATAGTTTAGACAACGTTTATATATAAAAGTGATATAATTAAAAGGAAATAAAATATTAATTTAAGTAATTTCTTAGCGCTATCTAGCGGCGAATAGATGTAACCAATAGAAAAATTTACAGTAACCTACAATTCGAGTTGAAAATGTTATGGTTTTACTTTGATTTTATTAACACCAATTATTATATTACCGTATATTTTCGAATCTAATCCGCACCTCGATTTTAAAAATACAATTAAAAAAAAAAAAGTTGGTTTACCAATGTAATCCACATCCGATTGTAATCCGCATTTGATTTTAGAGCATACAAAATTTGTAAAAAGGGTGCAGATTCGAAAAAATACGATATTTTTGTAATAAAATTGTGAGAAGTATTATATATGTCAATCGTAAAATCATGAGATCTCACGATAAATCGTGAAACCTGGCAACCTTGGTTACCATTAACAATTTGTAAAACAGCGAAATTCATCAAATTCTCATATTTTCGTATTTTTCTGGATATTGACCTACCTGACAGCAAATATACAAGAGAGCAATATTGTTAATAACAAAATTTGCAACAACTTTTGTTCTAAAAGCTTTTTGATAACATGCTTCGATTCCCAAATGTTACCATTGGCTAATAGTAAAATACGGAAATTCATCAAATTTTTAAATTTTCGTATTTTTCTCAATATTGGCGCATCTGAGAGCAAAAATACAAGAGAGCAATATTGTTAAGAATAAGATTAGCTACAACTTTTGTTCTAAAAGTTTTTTGATAACATGCTCCGATTCCCAAATGTTACCATTGGCTAATAGTAAAATACGGAAATTCATCAAATTTTTAAATTTTCGTATTTTTCTCAATATTGACGTATCTGAGAGCAAAACTACAAGAGAGCAATATTGTTAAGAATAAGATTAGCTACAACTTTTGTTCTAAAAGTTTTTTGATAACATGCTCCGATTCCCAAATGTTACCACCATTAACATTTGTTTACTAGTTGTTCACGCCGCATGAATTAAGACGTAAATGCGTCCGTGTGTGCGCTAACAGCGAAGGGGATATGACGATAGTGAGCCCCTGCTCGACCTCTTATCGCCGTAAACCGCCAATCGCATAACTTTCGATTTTGATTCAATTTATATTACTTAAATCATTTACAATTGTTAATTCAAAATATTTAACCAAAAAGCGGAAGGTTGGGACAATAAAAAAATCGTAAGTTATTAAAACTTCTTTTTTTTTCCAATTTGCAACTTATTTCGAACTACCACCTATTTAATTGACCCCGGTTTATACCGCATGCGTTCATTAGTAAAAGAAAAAAATTCGTTATTCGATTTTTGTATTTTCTTTCGATATTGACGCATCTGAAAACAAAAATAAGAGAGAGTAATATTGTTAAGAATAAAATTTGCTACAACTTTTGTTCTAAAAGTTTTTTTATAACATGCTCCGATTCCCAAATGTTACCATTGGCTAATAGTAAAATACGGAAATTCATCAAATTTTTAAATTTTCGTATTTTTCTCAATATTGACGCATCTGAAAGCAAAAATACAACAGAGCAATATTGTTAAGAATAAAATTTGCTACAACTTTTGTTCTAACAATTTTTTGATAACATTCTCCAATTCCTAAATATTACCATTAGCTAAAGTAAAACAAGATAATCATAAATTTTTTAAATTTTAGTATTTTTCTCAATATTGACGTATCTGAGAGCAAAAATATAAAAGAGCAATATTGTTAAGAACAATATTTGCTACAACTTTTGTTCTAAAAGTTTTTTGATAACATGCTCCGATTCCTAAATGTTACCATTAGCTGTTAGTAAAACAGTAAAATTCGTAAAATTTGTATATTTTCGTATTTTTCTCGATGTTGACGCATCTGAGAGCAAAAATACAAGAGAGCAACATTGTTAAGAACAAAATTTGCTACAACTTTTGTTATAAAAGGTTTTTGATAACATTCTCCGATTCCCAAGTGTTACCATTAGCTAATAGTAAAACAAGAAAATTCATAAAATTTTTAAATTTTCGTATTTTTCTCAATATTGACGCATCTGAGAGCAAATATACAAGAGAACAATATTGTTAAGAACAAAATTTGCTACAACTTTTATTTCAAAAGTTTTTATGTAATATGCTCCATTTCCCAAATATTACCATTATGCAATAAATGCAGCAAATTCATCCAATTTTCATATTTATCTCGATATTAAACGAAAATTAATAGAGTTTTGTAACTCTTTTAGAGTCGTTCTTTTTTAGTACTTTTAGCGTTCTCGATTAAATCTTTTAATTTTTTCGACTCTGATTTTCCAGTTCCATTACCGTTGAAGATGTACCAATTAACAAATTAATAATTTATTTTTCCATTATCATAATTGATTTTTTCATCACGTGCTTCTCTTTACGTTTCCAAAAGTTTCCATTGCAGCTTGCTTGTCAATATCTTGCACCGATTTCTTTCTGGTTTGTATCAAAAAATATATCATATCTTATTTAATTGGTGTAATATTTTCAGAGGAAGAATGCAACAAGTTTTCTCTTAATCATATTCAACTTGTCGTCCTTGTTTCTGATTCATGATTCGGACAAAGATTCACAACAGCGGTTTGTATAATTAATCTTATTCTACACTACTTCCTTACTTCCTTACTAGTGTTTAACTTGTTTTATGATAGAGTAATAAAGTTGCGGAGGCAATTTATAACTTAAATTGGCATGAAGCCGACGTTTCAACACGAAAATTGATCTTATTTTTACTCTCAATCAGCCAAAAAGAACTCAAATTGGAACTGCCTCTGTTTGGGGAATTATCGAATAGAGCAGCAGCAAATGTAAGTAAATAACGATTCACTGAATACGAATATACTGAACGATTTTTTGAAGGAGTTTAATTAGATGTCGAAAGATACAACAAAAAAAAACTTTTTAATTTAATTTTGTGATAAAAATTTGATGAATTTGTTGCTTTTTTTAGTTATTACAGGTAACACTTTGGAATCGAAGCTTGCTATAAAAAAACTTTTAGAACAAAAATTGTTGCAAATTTTATTGTTAACAATATTGCTCTCTTGCACTTTTGCTCTTAGATGCGTCAATAACGAGAAAAATACAAAAATATGAAACTTTGAAAAACATTTTTTTTTCCAAAATATTGCAGGTAATGTTTGGGAATGGGAGCATGTTATAAAAAAACTTTTAGAATAAAAATTGTTGCAAATTTTACTGTTAACAATATTGCTCTCTTGCACTTTTGCTCTTAGATACGTCAATATCGAGATAGATACCAAAATGTGAAAATTTGATGAATTTGTTGCTCTTTCAAGTAATTAAAGGTAACACTTTGGAATCGAAGCTTGCTATAAGAAAACCTTTATAACAAAAATTGTTGCAAATTTTATTGTTAACAATATTACTCTCTTGTACTTTTGCTCTTAGATACGTCAATATCGAGATAGATACCAAAATGTGAAAATTTGATGAATTTGTTGCTCTTTCAAGTAATTAACGGTAACACTTTGGAATCGAAGCTTGCTATAAGAACACTTTTATAACAAAAATGGTTGCAAATTTTATTGTTAACAATATTGCTCTCTTGTATACTTGCTCTCAGATGCGTCAATATTGAGAAAAATACGAAAATTTAAAAATTTGACGAATTTTTTTGTTTCACTTTAGCTAATGGTAATATTTGGGAATCGGAGCATGTTATCAAAAAACTTTTAGAACAAAAGTTGTAGCAAATTTTGTTCTTAATAATATTGGTCTGTTGTATTTTTGCTCTCAGATGCGTCAATATTGAGAAAAATACGAAAATTTAAAAATTTTATGAATTTTCTTGTTTTACTATTAACTAATGGTAACATTTGGGAATCGGAGCATTTTATCAAAAAACTTTTATAACAAAAGTTGTTGCAAATTTTGTTATTAATTTGATATATTTGCTCTCAGATGCGTCAATATTGAGAAAAATACGAAAATTTAAAAATTTGATGAATTTTCTTGTTTTACTTTAGCTAATGGTAATATTTAGGAATAGGAGAATGTTATCAAAAAACTCTTATAATAAAAGTTGTAGCAAATTTTCTTCTTAACAATATTGCTCTCTTTCATTTTTGCTGTCAGATGCGTCAATTTCGAGAAAAATATGAAAATTGGATGAATTTATTGCTTTATTGCATAATGGTATAATTTGGGAAACGGAGCATATTACATAAAAACTTTCCACATCCAGATCGGTTTTTATGACAGTCATAAATAAAAGCCGGGGTGATTTTTGCCCGCTCGAGTACCTGAAAAGACTTATGACAGTCATACAAGAACAGGGTAGAACTTAAATTTTTTTAAACTAAAATTTAATAAAAAACCAAAGTTTAGTTATAACAACTAAAATTTAATTATAAAAACTGGTATAAAAGTCTTAGAAAAAAGTATTACTTTTAGGAATGTCTAAATAATAGAATAACGAAATTTTAAAGAATCTAATTATTCTCCGCCCTCTTTTGTAAGTAGACAATGCATGCCTCCTCAAAACATTTCTTAGAAAAAATATGTACTTAA